TGACAGGAGTGCAATTTCTGCCATTATTTAATTCTGCCTTTCCATCCTTTGGAGCTAAATGATCAGTCAGGTTATGTGCTGTGCTTCGTTACTTGGGAACACTGCAGCAACAAGCTGGAATAATGAGTGCAAATCTCCATTCAGGTGGTAGCTGAGATTCTCAGACCTTCAGAAGATCAGATTTATCAATGGGAAATACGGAAACATCCTTATTTAAGAAGTGTGTATTTTCTAGGATGGTTCTGAAAATTACAGCAAAATCAGCCGAGATGACGGGCATAAAAAGAGATACAAAGCCTGGAGATGGTATTAGTGGGAGTCACACGGTCCCTCTGAACTGTGTCTGTCTTGGCTGCCCTTTCTGACACTCAGCGTTTAAGAGCTCTAATTTCCAGCTCTTTATATAAACAGCTGGATTTGGCTTTATGTCTGAGTGAGAGCTCTCTCCACCAGCAGTGGGAACAGAAATAACTGGCATACTGGGAGCAAAATGTAAAGAATGTAATCAGCTTTGCAAGCTTTAAAATCCTTTCTGGAGGGGAGAAACGGTAGTACCCATCAAACTATTCTCGTCTCTTTCAGCTTCTAAATATAAGGTTTCAAGCACCGTGTAATCCACAAGAATAAGAACAATATCCATTTCAAATGCGCAAGGCTGCCAGGCTGCTTTTGTTCACCTGAGCTATTGTGTAAGGAAAGATTCAGCTTGCCCTTATCTCCTGCATCTTCTCACAGCTAAAATACTGGCATCACTTTTCCAAAAATCCATTTTATCTGTGCAGAAATGAATTTAAATGTATCTATAAATGATTTTTTGTCAGTTGTCTTTCATTATAGGCTTGGGAGAGTATCGTGAGCGAACTGGCTTAGTTTCCCTTCTTCAGACAAAGTGACACTAAGAAACTTCAGGCTTCATCCTGAGATATCTTGTGGCATTTGTGGTCTCTCAATGGGCATTTTGCACATAATTTTGTCCCTTCCTGAATTAGTCCTACTTTCCCAAATCACTCAAAGATTATCACTTGTACCTTGTGTCCAGTAAGACTCCTAATTCTCTGGTCTGTAATTCCCACAAAGTACTTGATGAACATCTTGAGCTATTCTGGATAACGTTTTCTTAACTCTGGTTGAATATCCTCAAAGCAGTTTAGCAAGCCTTGCTGCCTTCACAGTATTAATGTTCTCTAATGTTGCATTCTGATGATAAACCTTATTTTAAATAAGCCCACAACACTGAGTGTGCATTTTCATCAGACTAACACTGATCTCTCATGCATTAATATGAATGAGCAGGATTAGCATGGGAAAATTTGCAATTTCTGTAAACGCTGGAAGTCTGAGCCAGACTAACAGCAGTAACATTTTGCCTTGGCTCGTTCATCCTTAAAGTTTTGGTGGGTTTTTTTCCAAGTTATAACCAGGCATATAAACCCAGCCAAAGGCTGAGAACATGGAACATATTTAAGAAGGTGAAACTTTAATGATATAAGTTGGAGATGTGATAATCAGCAGGCATTTTTATTCTGAATTTCCCACATGGTTGGTTTGTGGGTTGGGTTTTTTTTTTGTTTGTTTTGTTTATTTTTTTTATTGAAATGCATATCCTGGGCCGTGGCTGGAGATGGGATGCACGGGGAGGGCTGAGGGATTCTCAGCCTGGAGATGAGGAGGTGAAGTAGGAACTAATTGCCACCTTTAACTACCCAAAGTGGGGGGCACAAAGAGAGAGGAGCCAGGCTCATCTGGAGGGCACACAGTGACGGGCCATGAGACACCCTCCCACCTAATTTGTTAAGTGGCTATACGAATTAAACAGATATTTGCATGCAGAGCAGTGCCTCCAGCCATGTTTTCCATGGAATCATGGAATTGTAGGAGTTAGAAGGGACCTCCTAGAGATCATCTAGTCCAACTCCTCTGCCAAAGCAGGGTTGCCCAGAGCACATCACTCAGAGCTGCATCCAGGTGAGTCTTGAAGATCTCCAGAGAAGGGAAGGTTTTTCACATGTCTCACAAAACCTCGGGAATGAGGATTGTTCACTGTCCCAAAAGACAGTGGGAAAGGGGATGTGCTGGCTGCAGATGGTGACGGGGCTCTTGTGCTACACGGGCTTGTCCACCCCGACGTGCAGAGGGGCTTCTGCAAAGGTGTGGGTTTTCATGGTCTGTGCATTCACTTGGACTTAGGGCCCCCTTCCCACATGGAGACATCAGGCAAGCTTCGGGAAACTGCAGTGACAAATGTTTTTTTTTTTTACTTTTCCTCTTTGAGACATCTTCCTCTAAAACTCTGAGCAGCTGCAGTCTCCTTGCCCAAACAACTTAATTGTAAACTCTCTGGTGAGCCAGACTCTCCTCTTTAGGCCATGACAACGAGGAAACAGCTTTGTCAGAGCATCATCCATCAAGGGTGAGCACAGTGTTGGTGGCAGCTTGGAAATGGAACGGGCTTCACTAGGGCAGCCGTATGAGCATCACTGCACTTCCCACTGCCCTGACACTGATTTATCAGGGGTTTCTCTGGCACTTGGGCCATAACACACAAGGAGCTGGAAATTGGAAGAAAACATCATGGATTATATTTGCCACTCGGAACTCTCCTTCCTCTGATGACTGCCTTCTGCCTCCCAGCATACGTTAACTTTTGTTACCAAATCCACATCAAAGCATTGTATGTTGTTACCACTCACAAATATTCCCTATCATTATTAAACAAATGAGGTGCAACTGCCAGATGAAGTTAGTGAGAGTGCCTAGCTGGAGGGAAGGGGGAAAAAATTGGGAGAAATTTCTCCTTTTTTGTTTTTTTTGGGTCTTGTTTACTGTTCTAGGGACACTGGATAATTAGGACATGGATTTTCTTGACATATCATCTCAGACTGCGCTGTCAGAAAGCGCTCGTCTCCCTCGGGGTCTGGAGCAGGAGTGGAAACACAGAGGCATACACCAGGTCTGCCAGGAGGAGGGCTGGCCCTGCAGCTCCTGCCCAGGTGAATCTGACCTTTCTTTTGTTGTTCTTCAGTTGTGATATTTCTTGTTTGCGGGGTTGGGGCTGATCCCAGAGCCGAGGACGTGCCGGGGAGCAGGGCTGTGCCACCTTTCCCGTGAGGGAGCAGAGTGCAGGGGATTTAAAAATCACTTCCAGGGATATTGAATATGTATCTCGTATGGAAACTAGGCTCAGCGAGGGGCTACAGTTGCATTAAACCAATATGTTATGATTTCACCACAGCTCTGTCAGTTTGACTTTCCACGTGTTTCTGCAGAACCTCTCATATACATATATATAATAATAGATTCAACTCCCAAGGCTGTTGCTGGGAGCTTAAGCCACGAGGAAATCATATTTTCAGACGGAAACAACACAAGAACAAGAAAATTCAGACACTGTGGGATCTGTTTTGGACTGAGCCTGCCGCTTTTTCCAGTTCCAGCTCTGTTTTGGGAAGCTCCACGGTGGCCCTGCTTGTGCAGAGCCAGCAGAAATAGTGTCTGATTTTTTTTCTTGCCAATTTTCTCCAGCTCAGAAGGGGCTGCAGATTTGCTTTCCTGCTCTTGGGAAGCGTTAGCTGCTGGGGATGGCTGCTCTCTCCCAAACCTGTTGCTTGCTCAGCCAGGAGAAGGCTGAAAGATGGTTGTGTGGAGGAGGAGGAGGAGGGTGCAGGTTGGCTCTTTCTTCATTCCTGCTGCTCTGTGTTGGTGCGTTGGGGTTTGCAGCAGCTCTGTAGGTTCCAGGACTGCAGGGGAGCTGAGAAATGCTGCAATCTCTCAGCAAAGCCTCCCTGAACGCTGTGTAACTCTCTCCATGGGGGAGAGAAATACTTACGGGCACCGTTACGGTGCTGGAGGCATCAGGTATTTGTGATGCTGACCTCCCGTGAATTTTTTTTATTTTATTTTAGGATACTGCAGCCCACAGGGAATCACCAGGCTCCTGCAGCACAGCAGCCCTGCACCCTGTGAAACCAGCCTTTGTGCTTAAAGGTTCCCTGGCAACCAAGGTGACATATCCGGTCCCCTTTTCTTTTAAATGTTAATATAGTTTTTGCAATTAAAGGGGAAATGCTGGGAAGCACAAAAAGCGAGGCGCTAATGGGTTGTTTTGCAGGATTTATTTGCTTGCTGGAGTGATGGGGTGGCTCAGTCTGGAGGCAGAGTGAGGGTTCTCCAATTGCTTTCCTGCTCACTCAGGGTTAAATCTCGGGTTTCTCCGGCATTTGGGGACTGGAAATCCCCAGCACTGGGTGAGTTTGCAGGTGGCTTTGCACTAACACCCCTGGTGACAAGAAGTCAGACACCTGTAAAGACCTGGTGGGACTGAAGGGACAGAGGTACAGCAAAGATCCCGCATTGCCCCTGTGCTGAACTTCGCAAACCAGTGACTTTAGCAGGCAAAATTTCCACCTTTTCGGGGGAGAACGGCCCTGCTGCAGAGGAGATGATGCAGACCCTGTGCCTTCGTCCCTTCGTGCCTTCGCTTTCTGCAGACTCCGTCACTCCAGGGCTGACCCCGGGTTCCCAGGCAAAGGGCAGGAAAGGTAAATTTGGGGATGAGCCAAGAGTGCAGCGATGTGGATTTACTGGTCAGGGCAGTTCCCACCCCCTTGGGTTTGATACAGAAGCCTTTCCCCATCCTCAGCAGGATCTAAGATCCTAAGGGAAACCTCTTTTGGTGGACGCCCAGCTTTGCAATCGACTGACTTTTCTGTGGGCTACTGGGCTGCATCTTGTTCCTCCTCTCCCCTTGCCAGGGCAGCTGTAATCTTGGTGGCGTGTTACGAGGAGCGTGTGTGTGTGTACATACACAGACAGAAAAAAAGCAATTTGGGACATTTATTCAGGCAGCGCAGTGTGAATTCAGGAAATTGGACCATGGGGTGAGAAAGCAAAGGCCTTGCAGAGCGTGAAGCAATGGGGAATAGAGCCTGAGGAAGGTGGGAAAGCAAGTAATGAGTCTGCTATCTCCTGGTGCAGAGTTCCTGCTGAAGAAGCAGAGCTGGGAGCATGAAAAGTGAGTGTAGCCGGATGGAGACACCCTCCGGTTCTTCTGGGCTTTTCTGGAAACAGCCTGGAGAGGGTACAGCAGAGGGTACCAAGATGATGAGGGGCCTGGAGCATCTCCCTTACAAGGTGAGGCTGAGGGACTTGGGTCTGTTTAGCCTGGAGAAGAGAAGGCTGAGGGGGGATCTGATCAACACCTATAAATACTTCAAGGGTGGGTGTCAGGAGAACGGGGCTGGTCTTTTTTCAGTGGTGCCCAGGGACAGGACAAGAGGAAACGGGCACAAACTTCAATATAACAAGTTCCATCTCAACATGAGGAGGAACTTCTTTGCTGTGAGGGTGGCAGAGCCCTGGAAGAGGCTGCCCAGGGAGGTGGTGGAGTCTCCTTCTCTGGAGACATTCAAACCCACCTGGACATGTTCCTGTGGGACCTGCTCTGGGTGGCCCTGCTCTGGCAGGGGGTTGGACTGGATGATCTCCAGAGGGCCCTTCCAACCCCATGTGATTCTGCGACAGGGAAAGCAGGCTGTCTTTCCCAAAGCTGAGGTGGGTTAATCAACACTTGACTGTAACTTTCAATTGCTCTAAATACTAGTAATATTTGGAGGCAGGATGGTACAATTTTTAAACGTGGATCTTGTAGACAGTGAACTATAACAAATACTAAATGATAAACATGTGACTGATATGAATTGACAGACAGGTAACTGCTAAGTCTGACAAACTCTGAAATTTGTGAGTTCTTCTAAAGGACATGCGAGGCAGAAGACCCCTTGGGAAGAGCTGGTTGTGCTGCCACCCTCCCCTCCTTGGAAGAGCAGTGGACCAAGGCAAAGAGCTCTGAGAGCCTGGGTGTAAAAACTTGCTCAGCAGAGACAGAAATTGCCGTTTAGAAGCTGCATTGGCGTTCAAGGAAAAAGCAAAATGAGGGTACAGAGGGTGTTGAGGGCAGAGCAGGAGATACATGGCGTGTGTCGGGCTACCTGTTCTGGTGCCCGTAGGTGTTTTGCTGTGCTTGGTGTCCACAGGCAGGGCTGCTGCTGGGTTACTTCAGGATTGAGGGTTTGCCTTGTATGAAGAGGAAGGGAGATTTCCCTGGATTATATCAGACAACACGAGCAGAGATTGTTCATAGGGCTGTTGTGGCAGAAAGAGCAATAAAAGTGGGATATTCTCAATCCCACTGCAACTACGAGCATCAAGGAACGTGGCGGTGGAAAGGGAGGTCATTCTGCCCCTCTGCTCTGCACTGATGAGGCCACAACTGGAATCCTGTGTCCAGTTCTGGGCTCCCCAGTTCAAGAGGGACAGGGAACTGCTGGAGAGAGTCCAGCGTAGGGCAACAGAGATGATGGAGGGATTGGAGCATGTCCCTGATGAGGAAAGGCTGAGAGAGCTGGGGCTCTTTAGTCTGGAGAAGAGAAGGCTGAGGGGAGACCTTATTAATGTCTACAAGTATCTCAAGGGTGGGCTGAGGGAGGAGGGAACCAGACTCTTTTCAGTAGTTGCCAGTGAGAGGACAAGGGGCAACGGGCACAAGTTGGAACATAAAGGGTTCCACTTGAATATGAGGAAGAACTTTTTCACGGTGAGGGAGACAGAGCCCTGGCAGAGGCTGCCCAGGGAGGGTGTGGAGTCCCCTTCTCTGGAGATCTTCAAGACCCGCCTGGATGCTCCTGAGTAACATGCTCTGACAAGCTCTGGGTGGTCCTGCTTTAGCAGGGGAGTTGGACTAGATGATCTCTATGGTCCCTTCCAACTCTAAAAATTCAGTGAAATTCAGATCTTCAAATTGATTTAACGTGGGGACCATCCAGATGCTTATGCACTGGGTGGCATAGCACGAGTGTAACCAGTGTGAAGCCCAACGGGGCAGCCTGGGCTGTCTCCTGTTCCTGCTGTGCTCGAGCAGCTGGAAAAAACCTCACAGCAACAAAAAGGATTTTCATGGTGTAACCTTAAACATTTCCAGTCCTTCCCCCGGAGTGCCACCCTGGGTTGTACTGGACTCTTAAGTTAAAAAGTTCAATTTATTCTTAGGTTTAATTTGAATTAAAACATGCTCTCTAGATTTCCACTGGGAATTCTCTGATACCTGATGTGGATGGTGAAAGATTGGAAAGGGGACTCATTGTGAGCGTTCTTGGATTTGTCAGTCACGCTGACAAATTCTCCCAAGTTTTTGATGAATGGGCTCATAAAAGTAGCTGCCTACGCAAATGTGGGATCTAGATCTCATCTGCTGGTGGAGAGACTGGCAAAAATATTGATGATGGGAGCGGTGTGGGGCAAGTAACTGGGCTGCCACCCCGGGGACAGCACTGCTCGATGCTTGTAATCTATAACTTGCACGTAATGATTTTCCTGCCAGGAAAATCCTGCTTTGTGGATTAAGCATATGAAACCAATCAATTTGTGTGCCGCAGGCGAGAATTCCAGTCTAAATATGGTCACCCAAAAATTATTTTCCTAGTAAGTGGCTTGTTTCCTTCTGGAGGATTTTAGAGGTGCATTTTAGAGGTATTAATTTATGGGTTGCTGTCTGTAGGAGCTGCATCAGTTGGGAGGGTTTGCTGGCGAAGCAACAGCAGAAAACCACCTCTGATAGCAGCAGATAAAGGCGGTGAGTGGAAAAGGGAAAGCACAGGCAGCAAGTAAAGACATACTCATTTTCCTCCACTACTAATAAATTAATACAGCCGGTGTCCTGTGAGGGCTTCACATGATTTCAGTGCGTGAGCTCACAGGGCATTAATCACAGAGCCTTTCTGCGTGTCACCGACGTGTACCGCGGGAGGAACAGCAGCACCGTTAATCAGCCCTCGTTCTGCAGGAGCCCAGAGCCTGGATAGTCAAGAGAGTGGGTTTTTTTCATATTTTTTTTTTTCTGTCTTCAAAACCGCAATTAAACTCTTGGAAGATCCGTAGGAGACAGTTCTCCTGCTGAGGAGCAGATATTTATGCTCTGAGAAGCTGCCCACAAATACTATTAAGTAACTAACAAAAATAACTTAACCAGTTACTCTCTCATGACTCCATTTCAGGAGGATTTCAATAATCTCTCATGACAGGCTCTAAACGCAACATGATTATCCAGACAGGAGTAATGTCCAATTTCAAATAACGTCCATTTCACTGCTGAATATAAAAATCTAAAGCTGCTGAGAGATAAGGAACACGTCGAGATTAGGTGGTGAATCGCTTTGCTACTGGAAAGCTTTTCTTGTCAGGTTTGCAGCCAGGAAATGTTTGTTTAGCTCCTTTGATCTGCAGATGCCGAGTCGTCTTAGAGTGGGAATAGCCATTTCTAGTTGCTTTAGAATTTCAAAAAGTGTTTGATCCGGAAAGGTATTAGAGATAGACTCAGTGAGTTTCAAGGGGTATAGATAATACATCACACGCGGGAGGAGACACCGCTGTTGTTCTCTGGAAGATTAGACAGGGCTGTGTCAACACCATGGGGGAATTTTAAAACAGGCATTGAAAAGTATTTGTTCTGTCACTTACGAGGAATATTTGATGAAGCTTGTTTGATTTGATTGTTTCACTACTGGGTGAGCTCGTTTATCTAATTACGGTATTGACCACTTTCTTATTGTATTGAATTTTAATAGTCCCAAGATTAATTAGATGTGCATAAAGAGCAGCTGCGAGAGATGTGAACCTTTTGTTCTCCATCTTTTTTTTTTTTTTTGTACTGTTTTGAGAAGAAAGAGACGAGAGATAAGTGAATGCAATCAGAATGCAGTCATGCTCTTGATTAACAACATAATTAGTTAAAATCTGAAAGTTTTGCAGGGAACATCTGCCTTTGGTATACAGGGCTCTGAACTGACTAGAGAGAAAGACAATGTTTGGGGTTTGCTTTATAAATATGACAACTTTTTAAATATGACTGAACATTTTAATAGCAAAACCTGACTTTTTTCCAATAGTAAAATAAGTAAATAATAAACAAACAGCCACACCAGGCAGGTGTGTTGGTTTCATTGCTGCTATGCTAACCCCAGAAGGGAAGGTTTGGTCCCTGCCTGCAGCTATTTTGCAGTTCCAATGCACGCCCAATCGGATGTTTCATAGAGAAATGCCATGGGAAAGGGGGTTTTCCTGGGATTGGGGTCTTCTCTTTGCAGTCTTCGGTCTGGGTGGACACTGTAGACAGGCACAGATGGAGGAGGGCTGGTGCCCACGGGAGAGGGACAACCTGGGCTGGCAGCGGCTGGCTAGCTGCCACTTTTACAAAAAACAATGATTTTTCTGTCATATTTAGCAATTAGAATTAGAAAAAAAAAATCCCTCAGACTCTTGGAAATTAAGATTTTTTTTCCAAAATATTCTCCTGCTTCAATGAGAACCGTAATGCCAACAAACATTTGGAAAAACCTATTTAAACACTGAGTATAAATCATATCTAACACTAAAAAAAAGGCATTATAATCACTATTATTTGTGAATACTCTGTTTATTTGCAAAGGTAACGCACAAGATAGAGAACTGCAAGTGATATCTTATTTACATTTCATGTAATAATATGCTTTTACTTTCAGCTTTAAACAGAATGAGCTTCAAAAAAAAGCCTTTGAAATTGTGGGATGGCACAAACACGGTGACAATGAATCTGTATGATCTCGCCAAACAAAATGTATGTTCTTGTTGTTCTGGAGGTATATGCTTCAGGATTTAAGTATCTCCACTCCAAAATTTCTCCTGTATGAAGCCCTGAATCCTCTCAGTGCATTTGTGTGTTTGCAGGGCATTCCTTACAAGCTTCTCACCTGTCAGTTTTAACTTATCAAATTCCACTTAGCCGCACTGCCGAGAATCATAAAAAATGGTAGACTAGAAAGCCAGCAAATTTATTTTGTTCTGCAAGTGAAATAATTAATTTCAAAGTCTGGAGGAAATCTGGCTCGGCTATAATTATTTTCCCAAAAGTTTTGATCTTATTTTTTTAATGAGAAATTGATTGATTTTCGTTCAATACGCTTTCAGTGCACATAAATCCCTATTTTAGGTGAAGTATTGCTTTGCAGAAGGAAGTAATGGTACAGATTTCCTCCTTGCACCATTCTTATAGCTTATAAATGCGCAGAAGTAAATTCCAGTAAGGAAATGATGATACTTTT